TCCTCCTCCTCCTCCTCCTCCTCCTCCTCCTCCTCCTCCTCCTCCACCTTGCCTGCTGGCCAGGATGGAAGGCGATGAGGATGGCGTCAACCGCGTTGCGCCACGGCATCACCACGGCACCTGGCACCTGCAGGAGCACAACCGTCTTCTTCGACCCACTCGACGCGTTGGCCACTGCGCGGATCTGCTCGTCGGCTCCGTCCTTAGACGAGCGCGTTCAACTACTCGCAAAGTCACTACTCGCAAATGGTCTGGAACCCCCGCGAGGGATTTACGATAAATTACATAAAATCAGACAAGTGTTTCTCGGACGTTTGCGAGTAGGCACTTTGCGAGTAGTGGAACGCGCTCGGCGAGTCCTGCAACTGCAGCGTGTCGCGGTCTTGTGACTCGCCGCTGATGGCGCCGCCGACCACGATCGTGACGTCCGCCTTCTGCACCAGGGCCACCGCGCCCGCGGTCGAATTGCCGGTGTAGCTGACCACGCTGATGCCGCGCGCCTGCGCGGCCGCGGTGATGCCGGCCAGCGGCGTGACCACGTCCTGCGGGCGCATGGTGATGCTCGGGTGCTGCTGGAAGTTGTCCTGGCCCGAGGTGCCCCCAGCCTTCCGCGCCACCTCGGGACCATTGGCGCACTCTGGATCTCGCGGGGGGCGCTCGGGAGGCCAGCGGCGCCGCCCTGGGAAGGCTGGGATCACCTCGGCCCGGGGCCACTTCTGGCAGCGCCCGAAATGTGGCCAGAGCCGCCGCCAGAGTAGATGTCCCCGGTCCACCACTCGCCCTCGCCCTGGCCCTTGCCGTTGGGGTCATAGGGCACGGCCACCGCGGCGCTGCCCACGACCGCGATCGTCTTGACCCCGGGAGCCGCCAGGGGCAGGGTGTCGTTGCGGTTGCTCAGCAGCACCACGGAGCTTGCCGCGACGGAGCGCGCCAGGGCCGAGTAGATGCCACTGGTGACGTTCCTCTTCAGCATCTCCGCGCACGACGGGGGGCTGCACGCGTTGCTCCGGACCCGCACGCGGCTCATGGCCGCCAGGATCCGGAGGCAGGAGGCATCGACGAGGTCCTCGGGCTGTTCGTCCAAGAGGGAAGGGGAGTACCTCCCTGGCAGCCGAAACCACACGGATAGCTGAGGTTCGTCCTCCTCCCCATCCTCCTCCTCCTGATCCTCATCATCATCATCATCATCATCATCATCATCATCATCATCATCATCATCATCATCATCATCATCATCATCATCATCATCATCATCATCATCATCATCATCATCATCATCATCATCAGCATCAGCATCCATCATCATCATCATCATCATCATCATCATCATCATCATCATCATCATCATCTCATCCTCATCCGCATCCTATCATCATCATCATCATCATCATCATCATGAGCAGCAGCAGCACGATCATCATCATCATCAGCACATCAGAGCAGCATCATCATCATCTGAGCATCAGCAGCACTTATCATCACATCATCATCATCAGCATCATCATCATCATCACCATCACCATCATCATCATCATCATCCAGCATCATCATCATCATCATCATCCTCATCCTCATCCTCATCATCCTCATCCTCATCATCCTCATCCTCATCCTCATCATCATCAGCATCAGCTTCATCAGCAGCATCATCATCATCATCATCATCATCATCATCATCAGCATCGCATCATCATCATCATCATCATCATCATCATCATCATCATCATCATCATCAGCATCATCATCATCATCATCATCATCATCATCATCATCATCATCATCATCATCATCATCATCATCATCATCATCATCATCATCATCATCCTTATCATCATCAGCAGCAGCATCATCAGCATCATCATCAGCAGCAGCCTCCTCCTCCTCTTCCTCCTCCTCCTCTTCCCTCCTCCTCCTCCCATGCTGCTGCTGCTCCTCCTCCTTCCGAATTCTCCTCCCGCTAGCTCTCCCTGAGGTTCTGGATGCCCGGGCTGCCAAGTCTTCTTGGTCTCGTTAGCTCCAAGGTTGGACCAATTGCCCATGTTCCCGATGCCAAAATCGCCGATCCCAGGCATGTCCTGGTCCAGCCCCTCCTTCAGGGCTGTGCTGTGGGTGGCCCACCAATCCGACTGCACAAAGCCCTTGAAGCCCATGCCCCTCTTGAGGTCCGAGAGCGTGTCCGAGTTCTCGCACGAGTGCACGCCGTCGATCTTATTGTAGGAGCACATCGCTGCTACAACACCTGCATCCACGGCTGCCTGGAAAGGGGGGTAGTAGAGCTCCCAAGCGGTTTTCTTGTCCACGTTGGACGAGCCACTATCCCGAAACGTCTCCTGCTCGTTGAACACCCAGTGCTTGACGACAGACATGACCCCCTGCGACTGCATCGCTCGAATGTACTCCGCGCCAAGCTTGGAACCCAGATACGGGTCCTCCCCACCAATATACTCGAAGTTGCGTCCACCCCACTCGCTCCTGTGGACGTTCACGCCAGGTCCTAGAATGGTGTTGCCGCCCTTCTGGGTCACCTCCTGAGCCAACGAGAGCGCAATGAGCCTCACCGCGTCCAGGTCCCAGGTCGCACCCAGCGCCAGGGAGGAGGGCCATCCAGTCACGGTCCCCACCATCTCCTCCCAATATGGCCGGAACCCCCCGGAAGAGTCCTGCATGTTGAGGCTCGGCACGCCGACGCGGGGGATCGGAGCCGTGTTTCCCACGTAGTACCTTACTACCCACCAGACCACCCTAACCCAACCCGAAGACCCAAATTTCGGGTTGGGGGGGGTAAGGGTTCCACATGTGTTGTTTCGATGTTTCCCGACCCCCCCGCCACTAGAAATCGAGGGCAAATCTGAGCCTTTGGGTTGGGTTGGGGTGGTTTTGTGGATGGTGAGTACCACTTCTTGAGGTCCCAGAAGCCAGCGCCTATCTCCTGGCCCTCGGGCCACTCCCAGCCGAGGCCCTGGAGCAGCAGGTACTTCTCCCGCCCCTCCATCCTGCTAAGAGTCACGGCCGCCTCCTCGTACGCATCGTCCCAGGCGAGGAGGTCGGACATCTCCGGCGGGGAGTGCCCTGGGAGAAACGTGCAGGCGCCGCTGTAGTACTGACCCTCCTCCATGGTCGCGCCCTCGACTGGCCATGCCCGACACACCGCGTCCGCCACGGCCCGCCTGGAGAACCAAATGGGCACCTGGGGGTACGGAGAGTTACCGATACAGCAGAGTATTCCCCGGACCTCTCCTGAGGAGGGGGCCTTCCGACCAGAATGTGAGGGAGAACCCCGCCGTGGTGGCGAGGACTCTCCAGGACGAGCCGCAGCGTCGGAGCACTGCAGGTTCGTGTCGTGACCACCCCGGCGTTGGTTTCTGACACCGCATGGACCGTTCAAGCTTGAACGATCGGCGGCATTTCGATCGCCAAACCGTTCCATACTGGCCGATTCTGGGCCACTGCCGATTCTGGGCCACTGGCGCGAACAGATCCGTATCCGCGCAATCGCGGTCTGGATTCGGGGGGCGCAATCCCGCGGATACGCGGTCGCACGGATGCGTTCCGCGCGGGGCATCCGCAAAAAAAGGCCGCGCACCCGCGGGGTCGCGGCCCAGGGGCCCGGCCCGCGAGGCCGCGGATACGGATACGTGGGGGAAGCAAAAGGTACCAATGACGCTACGGTCGGCCTCGATTGGACAGGACACGCGAGAGGACGCAAGACCCCCCCGGGGGCGGCATCGCCATAGGAATGCAAGAAGGCATGCGTCGCGAGACGCAGGACGCGAGGGTGCCCTTGAGCTGGCAGGGTCGACCTACTAATCTGGCCCGACTGTACACCCTGCGAAATGCTTAAGAAACCATGGGTTAAGAAATTCAGAGTCTCAGAACTGGAATAAAAACCCAGAACTTCTATCAAAATCTTGGGATTCACATTGACAAGTTAAGAATAATCGAGACTCTGGACGAAAACTTAGGTTTTCTTAAGCATCGCCTAAGGTGTACTCCATGGACCTCCCAGGTGCGTTCTGACCAGAACCTCAGGGCGAGTCCAGCCCTGGCGACGCGGGCCCTCCAGGGACGAGCAGCGGCACCGAAAGACCTTTGCCTCCTCTGGCTGCGTGGCTCGCCCACGCTCTCTGGGGGAACCAACAGCGACATACACATGATCGGAAGGGGCCCCAGGACACACAAATAAATAATTACACACAAATAAAACAAATCCCCATATTTCCCCATATCTTCTGGGTTTCTGTCTTCCCCCCCACTTCCCGTATTTTCCCATATTTTCCTGGGGGTCGACGATTAATTGTGTCTGTGTTTTTGTTTTCCCTCCTGAATGATAACTCGGAGGTCCGCGCGGATTTCTTGGATCCGCGCTGGACCCCCATCCCTGAGCGCGCCAGGGGCGGCGCCGGAGGCGCCGCCAGCGCCGATCCCAGAAATCCGCGGGGACCTCCGAGTTAGTATGCTTACGCCAGTGTTCGCTCTCCTGCGCTCCCTCCTCCGAGCACCTGCGAGGTGCTCCAGCACGCCCACTTCTGCCCCGCGTCGGGCCAGCACGCCGCCGCCGTGCCAGGCGGGCAGCCGCCGCCGTGGCCGGCGGCCTCCCCCACGCAGGAGGGCAGATCCCACGCGGCCTGCCCCTTGCCCGCCCAAGCCTCCCCGGCTCCCACCTGCTGCGAGGCGGGGGTCTCTGGCGGCGAGCAAGAGGGGGGGGGAAGTGAGGAGGAGCAGGCCCTCTCCGAAGGCGCCGGGGCTCCTCGGAAGCCTTCTGGCCTCCCGAGAGGCCTCCTGCGCCCTCCGGGGAGGCTTGGGAAACTTCTCGGGGGGCCGGGGGACTCCTATAGCCTTCTGACCAGGGCCCGCCCCGTCGCGCTTCCCCCCCCCCGGCCCCGCCGCCGAGATACATCCCAGGTCACCCAGCTTCGCGCACCGGGCTCCGCGATTCGCGATGCGCGGGTGCCTTCGCGCCCTCGCGCCCTCGCGCCGCCCCCCTGGAGAGGGGCAGCTCTCCGACCCGAGCCGCGGTGCGACCGGCTCGATGATCTTCGCGCACCTGGGGGTGGCCTGGTCATATCCACCCTCACCGCCTGCGGAACCGACGTCCTCCGACCAGCCATAACTGGGGGAGCTGTGGTCCTTACCCCCCTGGGGGAACCCATCGCATCGACGATCTCTCGAGAGGGGTGTCGAAATCGATTGGGGGGGGCGGAACAGATCCACCTACGCAGCCTACCGAGGCCCCCGAGGATCGATCCCCCGGGCGGTGCGCCCGTGGACAGGACCCCGGCCTTGGACCTGCAGACCCGCCCCCGCGAGCCGCACCAGCAGCTGCGCCCCCAGCAGCGCAGCCGCCGGCCGCGGTGCCATGGCGCGGCCTGGCGTGTCGGGCGCAGCCAGAGGTGCCCCGGGCCGAAGGTGTCCCCGGGATCCCAGAGGCGACCCCCACTTACCAGCCTGGAACATATCCCTATCCCTATGCTGGACACCTCCTCATCACGATGCCAATCTTAGGGATTCCCTTATTTTTTGAGGGCGAATCCCTGAGATTGCCATCGCCCGTTGGCGTGTCAATCGTCGGGATAGGGATACGTTCGAGGCTGGTAACCCACGTCCTGCAGGGCACCCCTCACTCACAAGGCCCAGCGGGCCCCAGGGGCTACCCGCTGGAACGAGAAGCTGGGGACACCCTGAACCTTGGAGACCTGTGGCCACCCCCGCGAGAGGGCAACCGCCGCCCCGTCGCGAGGCACGAGCCGGCCAAAAACCTGAAGAGAGGAGGGAGGAGGGAGGAGGGAGGAGGGAGGAGGGAGGAGGGAGGAGGGAGGAGGGAGGAGGGAAACACACCCTGGCCGGAACTCGCTCGGTCGGCCCCTGGACTCCCCTCTCTGGGCACAGTCCCTGGCCAGCTCCACAAGCTGGGCCTCGCCTCGGGCGTTCCTCCCTCTTCGGCGCCGAGGGGCCCGTGGCTATGGCTTCGGCAGGAAGAGGACAAGACGAGGACAGGACGGAGGCAAAATCCTACGAGGCCCCAATCAAGGATCTCTGAAATCCAGCGGCTCTGGAGGATGTGTTCAGCGCAGCGGCCGCTCCAGAGCGCTCCCGAACGCTCTGAGAGCGTTCTTCAACGCTCTGGAGCGATTGAGCCTGGCCCTGGCCGGAGGAGGAGGAGGAGGAGGAGGAGGAGGAGGAAGAGGATCGCCTGCATTGACGATACAGCATCTGAATGTACAGGGAAGTCGGAGTTTCAACGGGAGGTGGATGAGGAGGGGGAAGCAGACGGCCTCACCTAATTTCAAGCATAGAGACGCCAAATCTACACCTGGCCTGCCAGTACCGTCCTGGATAGCCTACCAAAACTGTGCAGGTAGTGCCAGCCGTTTTTAGTCATATACTCTGCCCCTCTCCAAGCTTCAGCGCACAACTGTTCTACTAATGTAGTTATGCTGGCTGCTGCCATTTGGGCATGCAAGTAGGGGGCTAGTATCAGGGCCTACCCCACTGTGGACTACTTGCCCCAGCACCTTGTAGTAGCATCCCCTCGCTCTTTGTCAAAGTCGTCGCCTGCTCTACGTTTTTCACTGTGCCGATTGCTTGATTACATCTTGATGCTTGACCTGACTACTAAGGGCGGCGGATAGGAGGGTTTATGGTTGGTGGGGGAGTTGGAGGTGTTGTGCCCGTTGCAGTCCGCGAGCCCTTACCCCAGACAGCAATTTAACTTGCACCTTGTAGCACGCCTATGTAGTGTTGCTGCATCCATTGACTTAACTATTGTGGTGGAGGGGCGGAAATACTTGTGGAGGTGAAGGTATCAAGCGGCTTAGCTTACCCGTGAGGCTGCGCCCACTGGAATCTGACACAAACACTTGGCAGGCAAGCTTGTGCTACCACCAGAGTGCTGCGCACGTGTAGCTCGTTCCCTCTTGTTCGGCTTCCCCCTGTTCCTGGATAGTGCTACTATTTCACCTGCTATGCCCTCTAGGGCCACATTACTTTCTCACATCTTCTTCTTGCCCTTCCACATCCGCACTGGCGGCTGCTTTGATTTGTTTGCCCTGGCCTAAGCCGGGGTGATTTACACTGCTTTAGGTATAGCATTGTTTGTTCTCGACGCAACCAACATCGTTATACTTGTCTGATCAACGTCAGAAAGGAGGGGGAGGACGAGGAGGAGCAAGAGGAGCATGAGGAGGAAGAGGAGGAGGAGGAGGAACAAAAGAAGGAGCAAGAGAAGGAGGAGGAGGAGGAGGAGCAAGAGAAGGAGGAGCAAGAGGAGGAGCAAGAGAAGGAGGAGGAGGAGGAGCAAGAGGAGGAGGAGCAAGAGGAGGAGGAGGAGCAAGAGGAGGAGGAGGAGGAAGAGGAGGAGGAGGAGCAATAGGAGGAGGAGCAAGAGGAGGAGCAAGAGGAGGAGGAGCAAGAGGAGGAGCAAGAGGAGGAGCAAAAGGAGAAGGAGGAGGAGGAGGAGGAGGAGCAATAGGAGGAGGAGGAGGAGGAGGAGGAGGAGGAGGAGGAGGAGCAGGAGGAGCGAAAGGAGGAGGAGGAGGAGGAGGAGGCCCTGTGCCCCTGGGGCCGCACGCCCGGGCGCCCATCGCGCAGAGGCGCGCGGGGGGCCCTCGGCAGGGCTCCCCAGAGGCCCTCCGGGGGGGTCGCCCGGGACTCCCTGCCGTGCTGCGGCCAGCTGCGAGGGCAGGGGCCTCCGAGGTGGTGCCCCAGACCCCCTCGCGCCGTGAACAAAATCACGACGGGAGGTTCTTCGCCATCTTCCGCCTCTGGGGCCCTCACCAGACCTCGGGACCGTCAAAAAACGACTCGGGATGACAAACCGGTCCCGGGGAAGGGGTTCGGACCTCTGGGGGTCGCAACAAGAAAAAATCATGACGTCGGGGGTGTGGGGAGAACGCCCTCTGGTGCCTTCGGGGATCTACTGGCCCGGGGCAATCCAGACCCAGGCCAGCCAGGATACTGCAGATTCCTGCAGGCCCCTTCAGGATCCGGCACCCAAACCCGGTCGATACGACCCTGGCTCTGCAGGATCCTGCAAGATCCGGCGCTCTGACTGACCCACGTTTGCATCGACCCCCGTCCCTTGAGCCCCTATGCATGCCGCAAGTGCGGGGCCGGCTCCTTTCGTCTGCGAGTTCGAGCCAGGTGTTTTTACACGGGTTCCCGTCGCCCGTGAGCCCAAAGTGCTTGTTCTTGCATGGCTTCCTTTCGCCCGTGAGCAAACATCTGAGGGTGCCTCGAGCGAGGGCTTCATCCGTGCGTGACTTGCAAGGAAGTCTCGAGCGGGGGGCCGCCCTGTGGAGCTCCAGGGGGAGGACGGGAGGTGCTGGGCTGGCGGTGCTCCTGTCCCTGCATAGGGCGACGAGCCCTATACATATCCACTGCTCCTGGCCAGGTCCATCCTGGGCCCAGGAGCGGTGTATATGCCTCCCTAGCCAAGCCAGGAGGGCGTATACACCGCTCCTGGGCCCAGGATGGACCTGGCCAGGAGCAGTGGATATGTATAGATCTCGTCGCCCTGTCCCCGGCGGGCAGCTCCGAGGGCGCGGGGGAGCAAAAGAATACAGTCACCAGCGCTGCCAGCAGGAACGCCGAACAGGGAGCGAAGGGGCGTTCCCGGCCACGGCGAGCCTCGGCCACGAGTAGTGCCCGCGTCCTGAGCGCCCCTAAAATAGATGAAAAGGAACTATGCACATACACCGATTCTGGCCAGGCCCATCCTGAGCCCAGGATCGGTGCATACGCCCTCCTACCTTGGCAAGGAAGGCATATGCACCGATCCTGGGTCAAGGATGGGCCTTGCCAGGATCGGTGCATGTGCATAGTTCGCTTCGCCCGACAAAAACCAGAGCACCCCCTGGGCCCAAAGCGGCCCTTGGCGTATCGACTGCAACAACCACACCGGGGCCCCACCCCTGCAGGTGAGGCTTGTCTTAAGAACTGCCGGGGCCCACGATCTGAATAGCGGCTGCAGCCAGGTGAACCCGAGAGGGGGGGTGTCCGAAGGGGTAGAGTTGACACGTGGTCGTAGACGGAAGGGTCAGAGCCCGACGGAGCTGCGACTGCGGGTGGCCCTGCGAGGACTGGAATTGGACTTCGGGAGTGGAGTGGTGAGAACGGCATCCTTCTATCATACGAATCGAGAGCTCGAGGTCACGAAACCCAAAATGGCACGCCCAGGATGGGTATGGAGAAAAAGGGGCACGACATCAAGCAGCAAACACTGTCAAAATCTGACGACGGCGGCGGCTGTTGGACATGCTGTCGCCTCAAATGAACACCGTCCGCAGCGACAATGATAATGTTTCCTGTTTAACATGTACGGGAACCGCAGTCGGTCTTCGTCACAATTCTGTCAGTACCCTTCTCGATCGTACCGAGCGGAAGGATTAGATGCTCATTCTGGGGACCTTCCTGCAGCCACTCGCTCCACTCGTGCGTCGAACCTGAGTCGAACCTGAGGCGAACCTGAGTCGATCCTGAGTCGATCCTGAGTCGAATCTGAGTCGAACCTGAGTCGAACCTGAGTCGAACTTGAGTCGAACCTGAGTCGAACAGATCCATTAGGTGGGCCCCAGGAAGGTCCCCAAAACGAGCATCGAAGAAGGACGTGCCTGCATGCCAGTGCCGGAGCGAGAGACCTTGCACGGGTAACTATGGGTGGCATCGGAACCTTCCTAGCAAAAGCACGGCGAGACCGCTCGCTCGAAACCAACCGCCCTTGTTGTCTGGCGTCGAAGAGGCGTCAACCAAAAACTCGATGCTTGAACATATCCAACATCCACCCGTGAGACTTATGAGATAAGCCGTGAGACGATATAAATCAAAAAATCGTTATGAAAACGAACCGTTACAAGCGAGCTTTATAACAATGCAGATTCGAATCGTCTCAAGCGGGAGCGCGAGCTGAAACGCACCACTGACCATCAGTGCAATCGCTGGAAAGCTCAAGACTTGTAATTCGCCGGCCCAACGGGCCAGAGGCGTGCTAAGATCTCCGGTAATTGGTTAACAATAGTTCTAGTTCACGCGCGCGGAGCGGCCTCTGGGGGCCCCCGGACGAGAAGTACCCCGGCAAGGTCCCGGGAGAAGCCACCAGAGCACTCCAGGGGAGGGCCATTTTTCGACACCCCTCACGAGAATCGTGGCCTCCAATGGAGGGAGCCGCAATCGACTACCCCCCTCCCGCCCCAAGAGGCCCCCAAAAGCCCCCCAAGAGGCCCTGGGAGCCCCCAAGACGCCGCCAAGGAGCCCCAAGAGACTCCAAAGAGGTCCCCAAGAGGCCTCCCAGAGGCCCTAAAGAGGGCTCCAGGGCCGGCGGAATGAGCGAAGCGATTAAATATAAACCCATACGTATTGATGGATCAAACAAAACGACTGGTCACGTGGTGCGACGAGGAGGGCCCCTTCTGGCAGCCTCGCCCAGGGGGAGCGACGTGCGCCAGGTCGCCCTCGACTGCTGGACTGGGGGGGCAGCAGCAGTTTCTCAAGAATGGGGCCAGGGACACACAAATAAATGCACACGAATGCCATGATGCCCCACATGTTCCCATATTTTCTGGATTTTCGTCTTCCCCCCCACTTCCCATGTTTTCCAACATTGTAATTGAAACTGACGTTTAATTGTGTCTATGTTTTTTCCCCTTCTGATCTCAGTCCTGCGCGCGACAGCCCGCACATGTGAAGACAGCCGCCAGCCGGTACGCTTCTTTCTAAACTGTCCCTGCTTCTTGTGCCCCCGTCTGGACATGCGCCTCTGGCCGGCGGCACCTCTTCCGCCGAGGTGTCTCGCGCAGACACGGCGCTACTGATTGATTGATTGACGGATTGATCGATTGATGGATGGATGGCTACATGGATGGATGGATTCATTGTTGGATTGCATTGATTCGTTGTTGGATTGGATTGGCTTGATTCACTGTTGGATTGATTGATGGATTGCTTGATTGGGGGCAGCAGCAGCCGCTTCCTGCAGGGAGGCAGGGCGACCGGGGGCGCCTTCGCCCCATCGATCTCGCCGGTCAGCTCGGCCTGTCGCCCCGGCAGCGGCCGGCACGAGAGGGCGAGGACGAGGACGAGGACGAGGACGACGACGACAACGAAGACCAGGACGACGAGGACGAGGACGACGAAGACGACGGCGACGACGACGACGAAAAGGCCGACGAGGACGACGACGAGGACGACGACGACGACGACGACACCGAGGACGAGGACGAGGTGGAGGACGACGACGACGAAAACGACGGCGACGACGAGGCCGACGACGACGACGAAGACGACGACGACGACGACGACGACGAAGACGACAAAGACGACGAAAACGAGGACGAGGACGAGGACGACGACGACGACAACGACGAAGAGAGGACGACGAGGACGACGAAGACGACGACGAAGACAAGGACGAGGACGACGACGACGACGACGAGAAGACAACGACGAGGACGAGGACGAGGACGACGACGACGACAACGAGGCCGACGACGAGGACGAAGACGACGACGACGACGACGAACACGAGGACGACGCCGACGACGAAGCCGACGACGACGACGAGGACAACGACGACCACGATGACGACAAAGACACCGAAGACGAGGACGAGGACGACGAGGCCGACGACGACGACGAGGACGAGGACGACGACGACGACGACAACGACAACGACGACGACGACGAAGACTAGGACGACGACGACGACGACGACGACGACGACGACAACGAGGCCGACGACGACTACGACGACGACGACGAAGACGACGACGACGACGACGAAGACGACGAGGACGACGACGACGTCGACGACGAACACGACGACGAAGACGAGGAAAACGACGACGACGACGATGACGAGGACGAGGACGACGACGACGAGGCCGACGACGACGAAGACGAGGACGACGAAGACGACGACGAAGACGACGACGTCGAAAACGAGGCCGACGAGGAAGACGAAGACGAGGACGACGACGACGAAGACGACGACGAATACAAAGACGAGGCCGACAACGACGAAGAGGAGGACGACGAAGACGACGACGACGAAGACGACGAGGACGAGGACGACGACGACGACGACGAAGGCGAGGACGACGACGACGAAGACGAGGACGACGACGACGACAACGACGAGGACGACGAAGAAGAGGCCGACGACGGCAACCACGGAGACGCCGACGACGACGACGACGACGACGAGGACGACGACGACGACGATGACGACGAAACGACGACGAAGACGAGGGCGACGACAACGACGACGACGACGACGAAAACGTTGACAGCGACGGCGGCGACGAAGTCGACGAGGACGAGAACGAGGACGAGGACGACGACGACGACGACGAGGACGAGGACGAGGACAAGCACGACGACGACGACGAGGACGAAGACGAGGACGACGACGACGACGACGACAACGAAGACGAGGACGAGGACGAGGCCGACGACGACGACGAAGAAAAAGACGACGACGACGAGGCCGACGCCGAGGACGAGCAAGAGGACGACGACGACGACGAAGACGAAGAGGCCGACGAAGACGACGACGGCGACGACGACGAAGACGGGGCCGTCGACAACGACGAAGACGAGGACGACGAAGACGAGGACGACAGCGACGGACGACGACGACGACGAAGACGGAGACGAGGACGAAGAGGCCGACGATGACGACGACGACGACGACAAAGACGACAAGAACAAGGACGAGGACGACGGCGACGGCGACGAAAACGAGGACGACGACGACGACGAAGATGGGGACGACGACGACGAGGACGAGGACGAGGACGACGACGACGACGAAGACGAGGACGACGACGAAGACGAGGACGATGACAAAGACGACGACGACGAAGAAGACGAGGACGACGACGACGACAAGAACGAAGAAGGCGAGGACGACGACGACGAAGAAGACGACGACGACGAAGACGACGACGACGAGGCCGACGACGACGACGAAGACGAGGACGACAACGACCAGGACGAGGACGAGGACGACGAAGACGACGAAGCCGACGAAGACGAGGACGACGACGACGAAAACGAGGACGAGGACGAGGACGAGGACGAGGACGAGGTCGACGACGACGACGAAGACGACGACGAGAACGAGGACGAGGATGAGGACGACGACGACGAAGACGAAGACGACGACGACGACGACGACGACGACAAAGACAACGACGAACACGACGACGAAGACGAGGACGAGGACGACGACGAAGACGAGGAACGACGTAAACGACCACGACCACTGCGACAAAGACGACTACGAGGACAAGGACGATGCCGACGACGACGACAACGAAGACGACGACGAAGACGACGACGGCGACGGCGACGACGACGACGACGAAGTCGAGGACGACGAAGACGAGGACGACGGCCACGACGACGAAGACGACGACGAAGACGACGACGAAGACGACGACGACAAAGACGAGGGCGACGACGACGACGACGACGAACACGACGACGACGACGACGAAGACGAAGACGAGGACGAGAACGACGACGACAACGGCGAAGATGACGACGAGGACGACGACGACGAGGACGACGACGACGAAGACGAGGACGACAACGACGAAGGCGAGGATGACGAAGACGACGACGACGAGGACGACGACGACGAGGACGACGACGACGAAGACGACGAGGACGAGGACGACGGCGATGATGACGACGACGACGAAGAAGACGAGGACGACGACGGCGACGAAGACGTAGACGATGACGACGAAGACGACCACGACGACGACAACGACGACGAGGCCGACGACGAAGACGACAAAGACGACGAAGACGAACACGACGACGACGACGACGAAGAGGCCGACGATGACGACGACGACGACAAAGACGACAAAACGACAAAGACGACGACGAGGAGACGACGGCGACGACGAGGACGACGACGACGACGAAGAGTCAGACGATGGCGACGACGACGACGAGGACGACGATGACGACGACGACGACAAAGACGACGACGACGAGGACGACGACGACGACAAAGACAACGACGACGACGACGACGACAAAGACAACGACGACAACGACGAATACAAGGACGAAGACTGCGACGACGAAGACGACGACGAAGACGAGGACGACAACGACGACGACGAGGACGACGAAAACGAGGACAACGAGGACGACGATGACGACGACGACGACGAAGACGAGGCCGTCGACGACGACGAAGACAAGGACGACGAAGACGAGGACGTCGATAACCACGAAGACGACGACGACGAGGACAACGACGCCGACGACGAAGAAGACGACGACGACGATGACGAGGCCGACGACGACGACGACGACGACGACGACGACGACGACTAAGACAACGAAGACGAGGACGACGACGAGGACGAGGGCGACGACGACGACGACGACGACGACGGCGGCGACGACTACGACGACGACGAAGACGACAACGACGACGAAGACGAAGACGAGGACAAGAACGACGACGACAACGACGAAGACGACGACGAGGACGGCGACGACGAGGACGACGACGACGAAGACGACTACGAGGAAGACGACGACGACGAGGAGGACGAGGACGCGGACAACGAAGACGAGGACGACGACGACGACGATGACGACGAAGACGAGGCCGACAACGACGAAGACGAGGATGACGAAGACGACGACGAGGACGACGACGACGAGGACGACGACGACGACGAAGAAGACGACGAGGACGAGGACGACGGCGATGACGACGACGACGAAGAAGACGAGGACGACGACGGCGACGAAGACGTAGACGATGACGACGAAGACGACGACGACGACGACAACGACGACGAGGACGACAACGAAGACGACAAAGACGACGAAGACGACGACGACAACGACGGACGACGACGAAGAGGCCGACGATGACGACGACGACGACGACAAAGACGACAAAGCGACGACGACGATGACGACGAAGACGACGACGACGACTAAGGCAACGAAGACGAGGACGACGACGAGGACGAGGGCGACGAAGACGAGGACGACGACGACGGCGACGACTACGACGACGACGACGACGACGACGACGACGGCGGCGGCGACGACGACGACGACGACGAAGACGAGGCCGACGAGGACGACCAAGACGAGGACGACGAAGACGAGGACGACGACGACGACGACGACGACGACGACGACGACGACGACGACGACGACGACGACGACGACGACGACGACGACGACGACGACGACGACGACGACGACGACGACGACGACGACGACGACGACGACGACGACGACGACGACGACGGACGAGGACGAGGACTCGGACGAGGACGACGAGGACGACGAAGACAAGGCCGACGACGACAACGACGACGAGGACGACGAAGACGGGGACGACGACGACGAAAACGACGACGACGACGACGACGACGACGAAGACGAGGACAAGGACGAGGACGAAGACGACGACGACGAAGAAGAAGACGACGACGACGACGACGACGACGTGGACGAGGACGAGGACGACGACGACGACGACGACGACGAGGACGAGGACGAGGGAGAGAGGAGAGGAGGCGGAGATGTCGAGGGGGAAGGGGCAGGGAGTGCAGAAAGGCGAGGGGGGGGGACTGGAGAAACATAGGGCGGGGAAGAGGGGGGGGGGCACGGGGAGTGGACGAGGACGACGAGGACGAGGACGAGGGAGAGAGGGGCGGAGGCGGAGATGATGTCGGGGGGGGTAAGGGGCGGGGATTGTTGAAAGGGGAGGACGGGGGATTGGGAGAGACGCAGGGAGGGGAGGAGGCATGGGGAGTGGAGGGAGAGCGCGTAGGAGCGAGGCGCTGCCCCAAGCGGTTCGTTGAAGCCCTCCTCATCTCAGGATGAGACCGATAGCGCGCAGGCACCCTTTCTTTGCCACCGAGATGTGCAAGGGGGCGGAAGGACAGGGATCGCAGTAGCAGGCGAACTCTGCAACCCCCCAGGACTGACCATGCCTGTCCACCGGACGTTCCACCTGGTCACCTTGCCCCTGCCAGAGCGACTAGACGTCTTGTCTCGAACGTTGGTCCTGTCATCGCTCGGGCTTCCATTCCCCAAGCATTTTTTGGTGTCGTGCAAGGTGCTTCAAGATGGTCCAGGTTTTCTGGTGCTGGCCTCGTCGAGAAAATGCAAACGTCCGATCGATGCCAAAAGTTTCGGCACAGCAAGGTCATCCGCTGACTCGAAGCCCAGCCGGCGCCCTGTTAACAGAACACTCACGCATCAGAGAGGCAGTGTGCCTCGAGGAATGGAGGAACCATGGGCCCATAGCACGAGAGAGCGTGAGACCTCGGAGCCTGCGGGTGCGCCTTGTGCCAAAGCAACGAATCTCCCCATAGTGGCAAATCGAGAGCTTCAACATCCAGGACAAGAAATAGCTGCGTCTGCCCTGGAAGTGCACTAGAGGGTGGGGGGGGGGGGCGGAGGACGGCAGGGGGAGGGGGGCGAGCAGGGGTCAGGGCAAGGAGGGAGCAGGAGAGGAAGGATTCGGGGAGGACGCGAGGAGAGCACGAGGCGGCGAGGATGAGGAAAAACGAGGGGGGCACGGTGCATATGTTTGACCGCAACACGCCCATCAGAAGCTCAGCCACCCCAACCTAAAACTCCTCCAGGTGCCACATGACGATGAGGGGCTCCACGAAGAAGATGACGGACACCAACACGAGGCTACGTACCCGTCAGGGAATATGATGACGAGACCCCTGCCAGCCGCGCCGAACAGCAGGGAATATTCCTGCGCCAACGCATCAGCACCATGTGGAACAGCAGCCCATCACTGGCCCATGACCAGGGCGTGTGCTACCCGTGTGATGCAAGAATCGCATGCAGCAAAGCCTGTTGGCCACCACGTGGGCTGGCAACGTGAGGAAAGAACCGTACCAATGACCGTCAGCTACTGCCCAGCCTGGGGAACGTAGATATGTACCGCACGGCGTCGAAAAACAGGAAAAGGCCGCATCATAAAATCACACCTAATATCGAAATCAAAATCTCCCGGGCCACTCCCGGCCCAGTCCCGGGCGATCCCCCCAGAACGCCCCAGGGGTGGGCCATTTTTCGACACCCCTCACGAGGATCGGGGCCTCCGAAGAGGGAGCCGCAATCGACTACCACCCCCTCCCGCCCCAAGAGGGAGGCCCCCAAGAGCCCCCCAAGAGGCCGGGGCCCCCAAGACGCCGCCAAGGAGCCCCAAGAGGCCCCCAAGAGGCCCCAAAGAGCGCTCCAGGGCCGGCGGAATGAGCGAAGCGATTGAATAAAAATGCCACGCACGACCACTACAACCGCATACCGTAAGACACACGAGGAGTATCCCGCGGAGACGCAGCAAAATCCGCCGAAGTTGCCAAACATACAGGAGACCTCCACGACCGCCATCGTTCAGCAGATGACCGTGAGGAACACCACGAGGCGGGAACCCCAGCACTCACCACCACGAAATTGGCCCACAGATGTGGTACAACCCTGGGTACACCCTTTGCGGGTGGAAGATGACGAGGAAAAGAACGAGGAGGAGGGAGGAGGGAGGACGAGGAGGAATTGCAAAGAAGCACAGGACGAGGGGGACGACGATGAAGCCTATGACGACGACGACGACGACGACGACGATGACGACGGCAGCGGCGGCGACGACGACGACGACGACGAAGACGACGACGACAGCGACGGCTATGACGATGACGACGACGACGACGACGACGACGACGACGACGACGACGACGACGACGCTGCCGCGGGGTGCATGCGCGTGCGCGAATCGACGCAGGCCCAAGCCTTGGAGTCGGTGCAAATCTGCGTCGCCTCTCCGGAGGGTCGCGCGCGCTCTCCGGGCTCTCTGTCGGCCAGTGCCCGCCGCCCCCCCCGAGGCCCCCCACCCCGTCCACCTGCCGTCGCCAACCTCCCTGGGGAGGGGGCCTCCTGCAGAGCTTCCCACGTGGGGTCCGAGCGAGATGGGATCGGGGGGTCGCGCCGCATCGCCGCTGCAAATGCATCGGCGATCCCTCGGCGACGTCGTGGATACACCGGCGTCGTCGGCGTGGGGGAACTCGAGCTTCACATCGAGCCGCATCGCCAATGCGTCGACGATGCGGGGCGATTCTCCGACCACTTCGACTTCTTCTTCTTCTTCTTCTTCTTCTTCTTCTTCTTGGACCCCAGGTGGGAGGTCTGGATCCTGGGACCTACTGGGAGGGAACGTCCTGTGACCTCCCTGGAGGGGGCCTACCTCGGGGCACCCCCGTCCACAGGGCACTCGCTGGAGGCAACCCCACATCCGACCTCTTCGAGGCGGCCTGCCGTGCCGACACGGACAAGGCAGGAGGAGGAGGAGGAGGAAGAGGATGAGGGGGAGAACGAGGAGCGGTGCTAGGAGGAGAAGGAGGAGACATAGTACGAACATCTTACATCAGTTCGTTTCCCAAGCGGGATGGCCAGAAAGCGGCCGCCACTGAGCTCATACTACAAATTCCTGAGAGTGCGCGTCGCCCTTGCGGGGCCGACACACACACACATAGTAGAAGTATGCTCAGGTGGTGCCAAACGAGTGGCCTCAATTAGTTGAAGCTTCAGCCTGCGATTACGGGGCAACTCCTGGGAGGTCTTCGTAACAACGATTAGAGGGTACGAAGCCAGAAAGAGGGGCCGGTACGCCAGATGAGCCCAGATTCAGCCCAAGTGTAAGTCGAACTGCGTGGGATCAAGCGGAGCTAAGCAGGACTACCTATACGACCACCCTTCAGGTGATAAGGTGGTTCGAGAGGGAGGAACCAACGTCTCACTCAATCGATCTCGCTATCGATCTCACTATCGATTTCACTATCGATCTCACTATCGATCCCCCAATCGATCTCACAATCGATCTCACAGTCGATCTAACTGTCCCTCTCATTATCGACCTCACTATCGATCTCTCTTTTGATATCACAGTCGACCTCACAATCCGCCTCACTATCGATATCGCTATCGATCTGACCGTCGATCTCACGACCCATCTCACTTTTGATCTCACGATCGATCTCCGTATCCCTCTCACTATCGACCTCACTATCGATCTCACAATCAATGTTACTATCGATTTCACTATCGATCTCACCATCGATCTCACGATCGATCTCACCATCGTTCTCACGATCGATCTCACTATCGATTTCACTATCGGTCTCACCATCGATCTCACGATCGATCTCACCATCGCTCTCACGATCGACCTCACTATCGATTTCACGATCGATCTCACCATCGATCTCACTATCGATCTGACGGGACGCCGCAGGACACCACGCGACACCGTGGGACGCCGCGGGACACCACGGGACACCATCCGAACACTACCCACACCAACCATCGATTCTCCTGGATCGATGGGAGGCGGGGCTGGGCGTTCGGATCTCGCCACGTGTTCGACGACTGCTGAACCCGACCCCCGCCGCCCATGGAGTTGCCTGCACCGTTGACCGGCGAAGGCAGGGTTCGGATGTCGCTGCCGACAAATCGCCCTGCCTGGCCTAGGAAAGCCTGGTCTGGGCATCTCTTTGCTCTCCTGCCCTGGAGGGGCAGGAAGCACTGCATCAGCGCGCGGATCTCTTGGATCGGCGCTGGAGGCGCCGCCCCACCGTCGATCCAAGAAATCCGCGCGGGGCTGCGAAAGTGTAGTATCCTGCGCATCGTTGACCTTATGTTGTTCCCATCGCACTTCAGGCCCACATCCCAGAAATAAGTTCGAGCATCCGGGAAAGTGTTGAACAATGGTCGAGACAGTGTCGAACGAATGGCTCCCGGGGCCCGACCCGCGAAAACCCCACCAGTTGCGGTGCTTTCTTGGTGCTCGAAGCTCTTCCTGGTGGCCAAGGCTAAAATAGGTTGGAACATCATGACGTGAACCGATCCTGGGCCCCACGTACTTTCTTGGTGCTCGAAACTCTTCCTGGTGGCCAAGGCTAAAATAGGCTGGAACATCATCACGTGGACCGATCCTGGGCCCCACACTGGCCGATTCCCCCCCCCCAAAAAAAATGGGGGCCGTGGCTGTGCCCCTGGGGAGCTCGAGGAACACGTGCCCAACTCGCGCGTGGTGGGATGGCGGGGCTCGGGAGGAGGGTGGGGGTGGGGATACAGTCAGCATGGTTAGGATGCGCAACGTTTCAGGGCTGCCCTGGCATCCTTGCCCCTTCGGCCCATCCTTGGTGACCTTCGCTGACCAGCCCCGCTCGAAACCGCCAACATGGCCCTCCGAGGCCCCTGCACCCTTACCGCGCATCCATATTGTGCGACTTGACTGTAGGGATCGGCGAAAGGGTACTCTGGATTTTACAATAGAGAGGAGGAGGTCTGATTTGGGGGGGTTCTGAATTCAGCAGTCTTCGAGTTTTCCAGAGGGGGTCTGGGCAAAAGGCCGCCTGCTCATGGCTGATATGGGCGGGGTTTGAAACTGCCCGTCTGGGAGGGCTGTGACCCCCTCCTTTTTATGACTGCCCACCAAGGCACCCCAACCCAACCCGAAGTCGCCGTTGGACACGCCAACTTCTGGTTGGGGGCATTCCGGAACATTGAGGAAACACGGAGAACCCGTAAGCCTCCCAACTCCAAATCTGGGGGTGTCTAGAACCTTTGGGCTGGGTTGGGGTGATTTGGTAAGTAGTGCTTCCACTACGACATGTGGGGCACTGAATGTCTGCCCACCTCGGCGCCGAGGGGTACTGGAGGCGGGGGGAGTGGGGGGGGGGCAGTCAGTGCCTGCTCCATCTCTGGTTCACTCTCCGTCTGCCTGCCCCTCGCTGAGTCTTCTTGGGGCCAGCTGGGCGCCGCCTGGAAGCCGCCGCTGTGGCGGTCTCTGCATCAATAAATGTGCCCAGGAGCAAACGAAGAAATAGACGCAAGTCCCAGGATCCCCTATATCTTACCAGATCTTCTTGGCCTTCGTCTTCCCCCCCACTTCCCATATTCTCCCATATCTTTCTGGGAATCGAAGATTGATTGTGTCTGTGCCCCTCCTGCATCCTCGCGATCCGCTTCGAACAGGGATCGACCTAAAAACAATGTCTTCCGCGTTCGTTCCGACTTCGTCTTCCCTCGTTTTTGTTGCCTTCAACCGGCCCTTGCAGCAAAACGAACTCAAAACGAAAACGGCCCTCGAAACCGCCAGAAAACTTTGGACGCCCGAAATGGGTACGGAAAAGATGGGTACAATGCCCAACAACAAATGTTGCCCCAAACCAACAGCGGCCGCCGTTGGGCAGGCGGCCTTCCGTCTCAAGTGGAGACAGGCCGCGGCGGCGCGGACAGCGAGTCCTATTCAAAATGAACAGGAACTGCTGTTGGGCATTGTTCCCATTCTTTCCGTACCGGTCGTCCCGAATGGCGGGCGGCTCCTTTTGGACACCTTGCCCCCGCTTGAAACCTCCCTGCCTCAAACGACCCGCGGGCCGTCCGCATGCAACAGCTGCACAAAGGGAGACCGACCGGCGCCCTTTCGAACACCGGATCTCGCTGGAGCCCTCCTCAAAGCCGCTGGCCCCGCCAGGGCGGTCACCAGGCTGCAGGTGTCTGATCCCTGCAGGCAGTCCTCAGTTCCAGGATCCCTGTGCCAGCTCCAATGCGAATGCACAGGCTCCAATGCAAAATGCACTGTTCCGAACGTTCAGATGTTGTCGACCATGGCTCCTCGCTCCAAGGTCAGAACGACGCGCGCTCTCAGATATCTTTCTGCACCCATACCTCGGGAGCGGCCAAGAGGGGGGGGTCCAAGAGGGGGGGTGCAAATCATGACCGGCCGCATGTGCGCGGCCCAGCGGGGGGGGGGCCAGAGACGTGATGAACTAAGAAGAGGCGCCATGAAATCTGGGGAAATATCGTGGCCCACGCCATGATATCCACCCCCCCCTAGTCATCACCCCCCTCTTTTCCGCCCCCGAGTACCGTGCCTGCACGTATCCCTACCCCTAAGATGGGCGAGCAAAAAGCGAGGACAATCTTAGGGATAGGCCCTCAAAAACTGAGGGAATCCTTAAGATCGGCATCGAGGTGAGGTGATGTCAAACATAGGGATAGGGATATGTTCCAGGCTGGTAATCTGTCCCCGAGTACCGTGCCTGCCGGCAACACGGCACCCGCTGCACCGCCTCCGCCAGGGCGCGGCGCCCCGCACACCAAAAGGGCGCAGGGCGGCAGCGCAGGGCGGCGGCTCGGCGCTGCGCCCGCGGGCCGCTCCGGAGAGGGCGCCCCGGCGGCCGGCGGCGGCCGGCGGCGGCCGGCGGCGGCCGGGCAGGGCAGCGCAGCTCTCAGCCGAGGTCGGGCCCGTCCCCCCGCAGCTCGGACGAGGAATTGAAAAAATATCCCCAAAAATGTTCAAAAATACCCCCAACAAAAAGTCACAGAATCGTCCCCCGACGATTTTCGTTGTATTTCTGACTATGCCTCCTCTAGGGGGACAGGCCCGACTCAACTCTCGGCGGCAACGACTGGGAAGGATGGAGGGCAGGGCAGCGATTGTCAGCGCGCAGAGACGGGCTATCGGGGCAGGCCCAGCCCTCTGACACCAGAGCAGCGCCGAGTGCAGAGATGCGCCACCACCAGAGCCTTCCGACGCGCACTGCGCCAGTGCGGACGCCGGGCGGGAGGGAGAGGGAGGGACTAATGGGCCATCCATCAGCGATTGTCAGCGCGCGGAGGAGGGATCGCTCCCTCCCTCTCCCCCCCCCGCGGCCCAACGGTGGTGTGCAGAACGTTTCCCGCCCGAGGGGCAGCCCGCCCCCTCTCTCACAAGCAGCGTACGGCTGCCCTGGTGGAGAGAATGCGCATCAGAGACACCGCCAGAGGCAAGTATGCTCAACTCGTGTGGTAAGGATGCGCGGTAAGGATGCAAGGGCCTTGGACGCCAATGCCGAGGCTCTTCGAGCGGGGCTGGCCACCGAGTGGTTGAGGACGGGCCGAAGATGACCGAAGAAGCAAGGATGCAGAAGGTACCCTTGGGAGGTCGGCCATCCTTACTACGCGAGTTGACTGTGGACAAGCGCGTTCCACGACTCGCAAAGTAACTACTCGCAAATGGCCTGAGTCCGACGCGGGGAATTTACGATCCATTACACAGAAGAAGACATGTTACTATCTCGGACGTTTGCGAGTAGGCACTTTGCGAGTAGCAGAACGCGCTCGGTGACATGGGAGCCTCCCATGCCATCTTGCTGGCTCTCACGTATCGGCGCTAGCCGACACTGATCGGCGCCAATCGATGCTAAATCGACGCTCATCGGCACTACATCGACGCTAGCCGACGCTAACTCGGCGTTTTCTCAGCGATTACCAGGCGCTAACGCACACTCATGCACTCTCGAAAAACGATATTACGAAGACATGCAAGGCTCCCGTGATTTGCTACCGAAGGAAACGGCATCAGAGCGTCCCTTTTGAGCATCGTTGAACCGACCTCTGTCTCCACTAGTGTGGCTTTGGCCCCACGGGCGATGTACCCCCCCTGGATGGGGACATAGGCTGTTTCCTTCGGGGCTCGAGGAGCGCATCCCCAACTGGGGGAATGACATGGTGGGGCTGAGATACCATCGATACGTCTCCTAAAGGGACGCCAGCGAAGTGGACTTCTGGGACCGCGGCGTTGCATTTGAGAGTTCGAAAAGTGCGAGTGCAAGGGTCATGCGGCGACCTTGCGGGCCAAGCCAAGCGAACAAGAGAGATCGGTATCGCCCGTCTCAAAGGTCTCTTTTCCTGGGGACCCTTTGGAACCACATGAACCATGGCCCTGTGGTCAAACGGTTCGGACCGTTGGTTCCCAGAGGCCTGCTGGAAGTTTTGGAGGACGCCCAACGCAGGTTAGGTCGGGCATGTCCTCCTACACGCAAATGTTGAAAGAAAAATGTCGTGATATGTATATAGATATGTGTGTATATATAATTGCACCAGAAAAAAACCTCAATCAGTGGATGGCTTGAAAACTAGTAATATGGATATTGAGATCGATTGTAAGATCGATAGTAGAATCGATAGCGAGGACGATTATAAGGTCGATCGTGAGACCGATAGTGAGGTCAACACAATGAGATCGGTAGTGGGATCGATCGTGAGATCGCTCGTGCGATCTATAGTGAGATCGATTGTGAGATCGATAGTGGGATCGATAGAGAGGTGGGTAATAGGATCGATGGTGAGACCGATCGATAAGACGATCGATTGAAAACCGGGGAACCCCGGAACCTCGCCGCCCACCGAAATCGGCCCGGAACCAGGAACCGGGAACCCGGGAAGCCAGAACCGGGAACCCGGGAACCCGGCCGCCCACCGAAATCGGCCTGGAACTTGCCCCAAATCCTTCAATCTCCGCCAGGACCCCTTCAGTGCAAGCACTGATTGGGGAAAAAACTGCTGTATGATGGGAACACGAAAATTCGTCATCAGACTCTTTTGGGACTATTCTTGAATAGTCTTCCTGGACATGACAACTTACACGTAGTTTCGGAAAGCCGACGCACACGGTCTCGGAGGGCCCAGTCTGGTGTCGGAAGACGCCCGCTGCACTGCCCCCACCGTGCCGGTTCGAGAGAACACCCTGGGCCTCATCCGAGCCTCTCTCCTTTCTCCTCCCCCCGCGTGGCAGTGCTCCCTCCCGCCCTGCCCGCACGCCTGCCCCCCAGCACCCCCTCCTCCCGCCCGACTCCAGCTCCATCCGCTCCTGGTCCGCGCTCCTCACCCTCTCCCGTGGTTCTCGCCTTCTCCATCTCGGACTGGGTCTCCGACTTCTTGCCCTGCGCCGGAGAGCACACCGGCGGAGCCAGGCGGCAGAGATCGCACAGAGGGCGAGAGGAGAGTAGTGGAGAAGAGGAAGACGAGGAGAACAAGAGGGTGAGTGTGGAGGAAGAGGGGAGGTGGAAGAGAGAGACGAGGAGGAAGAGAGTAGAGAGGGAAGGTGGAAAACGATAGCGGGGGATGATGGAAGAGGAAGAGGAAGACGAGGAAGAAAAGGATGGGGAGGGAAGGTGGCAGAGACGGGAAGTGAGGGAGGGGAAAAAGATCAGGAGGGCGGATAGTGCAGGCTGGAGAGCGGACGACACTGAATCTGCTCCTGGATGCCGAGACGTCAGCTCGCCATATCACCATGTCACGATGGCTGGATTTGGGAAACGCCGATCAGGGAACATCCAAGACACTGGGGTGCACCCAGGCCCCCGTACACATGGCATAATAGATCCGCAGCCACGCCATGCTGACAGAATGACTGTGCGCGGCACCGAGAAGAAGGCAGAGTTGCGCTCTAGCTGTAGAATATTCGTCGTCGCCGTCGCCACCGCTGCCGCCGCCATCATCATCGTCATAGCCACCATCATCGTCATCATCATCATCATCATCATCATCATCATCATCATCATCATCATCATCATCATCATCATCATCATCATCATCATCGTCATCAGCAGCAGCAGCAGCAGCAGCATCGTCAAAAACATCATCATCCTCATCATCATAATCATCAAAATCAGCATCAGCATCATCAGTATCATCATCACCACCACCACCACCATCATCATCATCATCATCATCATCATCATCATCATCATCATCATCATCATCATCATCATCATCATCATCATCATCATCAGTATCAGAAGCGTCAACGTAAGCATCAGCATCAGCACCAGCGAATCAACCTCATTATCCGCATCATTATCAGCATCAGCATTCGCATCGTCATCCCCATCATCACCACCGACAACATCATGACAGCCTAACCATGATCAGAATCATAATAATCACCACCACCATCATAATCAGCAGCAGCATCCTCTTCATCATCATAATCATCACCATCATCAGCATCAACAGCAGCAGCATCATCATCATCAGTAGCATCATGATCACCACCATCATCACCACCATCATCACCATCATATCAGCAGCAGCTGCATGAGAATTAGCATCAGCACCACAATCACCAGCAGCATCATAACAACCATGACCATCATCAGCATCATCAGCAGCATCGTCATCAGCAGCAGCATCATAATCAGCATCAGCATCAGCATCAGCATCAGCATCCTCATCATCAGCATCATCAGCAGCATCAGCATCATTGTCAGCATCAGCATCATCACCATCGGCATCGCCCAAATTATCACAAACCTCTTCACCATCATATTAGTCGTAGGCTTTGCCACCACCAATTATCACCAGCGTCAGCAGCAACAGCAGCACCACCCTCACCACCCTCCGCCTCAGAGTCTTCCCCCTCCTCATCGGAATATGTTCCTCCTCTGCTTCCGCCATCGTCTCCTCCTGGGGTGGGAGGGCGCACATCGAACTCGGTCTTGAGCTTCTCGAGCAGCGTGATGATGCCTCCCGACGCCGATCGGGGCTGACCCAGGGGGGGGAGGGGGGCTCCCATTCCCGCCCTGCCTCCTCCCCACCCAGCTCCGCTCCCGCCTCGGTCCACCCTCCTCCCCCTGCTCATCCGCACCACTCCAGTCCACCCCACCCCACCCCACCCCGCCCTAAACACCCTCCCGCCCCTCCCGCTTTCATTCCCCCGCCTGGGTCTTTCCAAGGGCACCTGACTTCCCGCTCCGCGCTGCGCGAAGCGCGAAGCGCAAACAACTTCGCGCTCTCGCACCGCCCCCCAAGGGGGGAAGAGGCGGATGAGGAGAAATCGGAGCCGAACAGCGAAGCGCGAAGCGCGAACAACTTCGCGCCCTCGAGTGCGCCCTTGCTTCAATCCCGCCCCCCCCTCTGTCCCTCCCGCCCTCCCTCCCTCCCACCATTCCTCCTCCCCACCCGTGCCTCGCTTCGCGACTCTAGGGCGCGGGGGGATCGTGCATGAGAGCGGAGGGGATGGTCCAGAGGAAAAAGGCAGCAACAGACATGCTGAGGCTGGCAAGTGCAAGCTTCTGTAATCGGTGCCAACGGCGAGCGAGGGGGGGAAATGAGAAGCAAAAGGCCTTCTCAGACGGCGGCGGGACTTCTCAGAAGCCCTCGCGCATTCCGAGAAGTGTTCTGCGTTTGCGGCGAAGGCTTAGAAAACTTGTCAGATAACCGGAGTACTTCCGAGCTTTCTGAGAAGGCCCGCCCCTTCTCACTTCCCCCCGATCTCGCCGCCGAGTCTGCAGCAATATCAGATCACCGAGTTGCGAACAGCAATGGTGAGGCAGGCAAGCCGGAGCAAGTGCCGTATGAAACGACAAACTACAAGTATACAGACAACTGGAGAAAAATAAACAAAAATAGACAAACACAATAAAAGAAACCGAAACAGATGATGACACGAAACGTCTGTCGTATTTCGTTTGCTTCGAGTTGTCCCCAAAATTGCCATCCCGAGGCTGGAAGGCCGCCGAGAACCCACGAAAATGCGAAAACCTCAAACCTCGAGACTCTCACCCCTCGTAGTCGTCGCCCAGAAGCCATCCCCCCCTTAACCCGTCGGTCGGAAGAAGTGGGTAGAAGGCGGATAACGTAATTAGCTTGGGCTCAGTCCCTCCCGAAGAATAACAAAACACATCAAGACAATACCGAGTCTTGCAGTAGGAAGGCGCTAAAAGTGGGCTGGGATCTGGGAATCCAGAAATACATACTTTCAACGACCGGCGTGTGTGGTCGTGACCCAGGAGCCCATCGCCCTCACAACGCTGCCCCCGATGGTCACGCAGCCGAGCCGAGTCGTCAGCACTGCGCGGCCAGGCACGAGCAGGGGTCCACGGGCGGGAGCAGTGGCCGCAGCAGGTGCCAGTGCTCCATCGTACAGGGCCACACTGGAGGGAGCTCCCACGGCAGGTTCGCGCTGCGTCGGCGCGCGCAAAGGTTTTTGACACCGCGTCGATCGTTCGACCTTGAACCGATCGCAGCCCCGATCGTTCAAGGTTGAAGTCAGTCGGGTCGGGTGGCGTTACCGTGTCCATCGGCGCTTCCGCGTCGCAGAGGTCAACCTTGAACGCCTTCAACAACGTCGCAAGCGCGCCCACGCCGCATGAACCTACCGTAGCCCACCGCGGAGCCTGCTGCTCCTCGGGACCGAGTGCACGCAAAGGAATCATTCGGCCAATGATTCCAGAAAGTATGTCTCCTCGGTTCTAGCAGGATGCCTCAATGTCCGCCACCGTGCCGCGAGGCACGAGGTGGAGTTCCTTCAGGTCCCTTGTAGTCCTGTCCTGTCCACAAGATTGAGCCGCGCGGGGCCCAGACCCAAAATTCTCACAAGGTCCTCGGGTTCCTGGCACGCCTCCTTCGGTTACCCGGCGCTTCCCGCTGGACTATCTCGAAACCGCGAGCGCCCCAAACACGGGCCAAAGAGGGCCCCGTGAGGCCCCTGACCTAAAATCCAGGTACGGTGGCGGGAAGGCCAGAAAGGCTGGCGGATAGACACGCACCCCAGTCTGACACTCACCAACATTCCAAGACAAGGCCGCTGTGAGCCTCTGGTTTTAGGGCGCCCAAGTCGATGCATACCCACAATCCCCTCGCCAGGCCCATCCTGAAGCCAGCAGCGGTGCAGACACCACGCCCTCCTGGCTTAGCCAGGAGGGCGCATGCACGGCTCCTGCGAAACCGATGATAAGCAATAAAAGTACACCCTAACCCTTTGGGAGGGCACCTAAGTTAGGAGGGCCGAAACATCAGGGATAGAGGGTGGTTCAGCAGATGTATCAGACAACACCACCAAGGCCTATCATTCCTGATGCAAAGACGGGGACCTAAGTTAGGCTACGTTTTCATTGTGTTTGTAGGGTTAGGGGTTCGTTTACTCTCGCTGACAGGAAGGGCCACGCCAGGGAGCAGTGGATGCGTATACATTCCGTCGCCCGATGGTCGCCGCCCAGGTGTCCGCCGCAACCCAGTCGTGCACCTGTGCAGCGGGGCGGCCCCGCATAGGATGCGCAGCCTGGACCTCCCGGGCGCAGCTCACGCGCCGAGCCAACCCTTGGAGCCCGGGAGGCTCTTCCTTCGGCCCACTGGAGACGTGTACGAAAAGCCATTGTTGGCTGGGCCTCGCAAGTCGGGGCTCGAGGGGGCCTCTTGAAGCCCTCTTTGGCTTGAGTTGTTCGTGGTGCTCCTTGGGGACGTCCTGGGAGTCGTCTGGGCCCCTCTTGCGGCCCTGTGCCATCATGGGAGCCCATCAGACGCCGACGAGACGATAATGCCAAAATCAGTGAAATAATGCGAGTGCGTTTGCACGTTTGGCCTCTCGGGGATATCCCTGGAAAACTCTGGGCCCACCTTAAAGCCATCTTGAGGCCTTCGTGAATTCGTGAGGTCCGTGCGCCCGGCCCGAAAAGACCGCTCGATTCGGGTCCGACTGGCAGACCCGACCAACCAGCCAACGGCCTGCACGTCCATCCTCAAGTCATATACTTCTGGGGGGGAAGACAAAAGAAATCAAAACAAAAAACGGCCTGCGATCCGCAGCCCCTGACCCAGACTAGGGGGAGAACGAACCTCTGCGTTGCCAGGCCACGTCCCAATGCAGAGAGGAAGAGGAACCGGAGCAGGAAGACAATGAGGAGGCGAGACAACGGGGAGGGCCGCGTGCCCCGTGCCCCCGGCCTGGCCCCCCGCATGCCCCCGACCAGCCAACCGACAAATAGAATGACCCGCCGAGCAATTAACCGATAGCTACACGCTTGGGAATGTCTCAAGCGACACGCCTGCGACATTCCGACATACACTGCGCCGCAATCATACATTGTCCTCCACACTGGTAACGGACACTTCAACCAAGACATGCCCCCGCCGACCAGCACAAAGAGGACGAGGAGGGCGAGCAGGACAAGGAGGATGAGAAGGACGACGAGGGAGGAGGCGGCGGCGGCGGTGAAACGGTGTAGGGCCGAAGATCGATCAACTCTAAAAAAAGCACGCCTCCGAGGAACCTCTGAACACGTGCGACCTGCCGTGCACTCGAGAGCGAAATTGCTAGGCCCCGCGGCGGGAGCCCCGAATGGTCCTCGCTCGACCACGGTGCGAATCTCGCGAGGGATGAGGAGGAGGAGGAGGAGGAGGAGGAGGAGGAGGAGGAGAAGGAGGAGAAGGAGGAGGAGGTGGTAGGGGAGGGAGGGGGAGGGGAGGAGGAGGGGGGAGGGGGGGGAGGGGGAGGGGAGGGGAGGAGGGAGGGGAGGAGGAGGAGGAGGAGGAGGAGGAGGAGGAGGAGGAGGAGGAGGAGGAGGAGGAGGAGGAGGAGGAGGAGGGGAGGATGACACGGGGAGGGGAACCTGGCCGTTGGCCGAGGACTGGCAATGTGGCCCCTGCGTGCCGTCGGAGTGGAACTTGTACTCCGGGCTGTCGGGGTCGACGCGGCGCCCCTGGCTGGGGCCGCTCCGACCCCCGGAAGCTACCACGGGACGGCTGCCGTGAAGGGGGTAGAGGGGAGGCCGAAGGGCGAACGCAATCATGGAGATCAGCCTCCTCCTCCCCTTCCTCCTCCTCCTCTTCCTCCTCCTCGTCCTCCTCCTCTTCCTCTTCCACCACCTCTTCCTCAAATCCTCCTCATCCTCCTCCTCGGGAAGAGCCGTTCTGGCGATCGCCGCTGCCCTGCGGACTCTAGGCGGCGTCTGCCGATGGCTGTCAGGATGAAGAGGGGAAGAGTGCTGGGTCTTCGGCTGTGAGTTGTGGCTCGTGGTTATGCTCCCCCATCAAGCAGCTGCCCTTCGAGGGGTCGCCAACACCCCAAGTCACACTCGCCATCATCATCAGCATCATCAGCATCCTCATCCTCATCCTCATCCTCATCCTCATCCTCATCCTCATCCTCATCCTCATCCTCATCCTCATCCTCATCATCATCATCATCATCATCATCATCATCATCATCAGCAGCAGCATCAGCAGCATCAGCAGCAGCAGCAGCAGCAGCATCAGCATCTGCATCTGCATCATCATCATCATCATCATCATCATCATCATCATCATCATCATCAGCAGCAGCAGCATCATCAGCAGCAGCATCATTAGCATCATCATAATCATCAGCAGCATCAGCATCATCAGCATCAGCATCATCATCATCAGCAGCATCAGCAGCATCAGCATTTGCATCAGCATCAGCATCACCCTCAGCACCATCATCAGCAGCATTATCATCACCATCACCATCAGCGCCAGCATCATCAGCATCATCGTTACAAGCATCATCATCATCATCAGCAGCAGCAGCATCATCATCATCATCATCAGCTGCATCAGCATCATCATCAGCATCATCATCATCACCATCATCAACATCAACATCATCATCATCAGCAGCAGCATCAGCATCAGCATCAGCATCAGTATCAGCATCACCATCGTCATCGTCATCATCATCTTCATCAGCATCAGCATCGTCGCCATCCACATCATCAGCACACTCATCATCAGCATCAGTATCATCATTATCATCAGCATCGTCGTAATCAGCAGCATCATCAGCATCATCAGCATCATCAGCATCATCATCATCACAATCACCATCATCAGCAGCATCATCATCATCGCCTTCAACATCATCAGCAACAGCATCAGAACCACCACAACCACCATCACCATCAGCATCAACGTCAACGTCGTCGTCCTCGTCCATGCCATCATCGAAATCATGAACCACGGTCCCCGTCACCATCAGGCACAACTTGAATGCCATGCACATTCCCGGACGTCTGACCAACTCTGTTATCCGCACTCGCATCATCATCATCAGCATCATCAGCAGCATTATCGTCAGCAGCATCATCATCAGCAGCAGCATCATCATCAGCATCAGCATCATCACGGTCACCCCTCACAATCGCAAGGTGCATCAACATCATCGTCATCACCATCATCATCAACAGCACCACCATCATCATCATCAGCATCATCACCATCACCATCAGCATCAGCATCATCAGCATCAACGGTATCATCATGATCATTAGAATCATCAGCATCATCATCAGCATCATCAGCATCATCAGCATCATCGCCATCATGTCATGCTCGGGAACATGGTCCGCATGAACAGCAACAGGATCAGCATCATCATCAGCAGCAGCATCACCATCATGGTCATGTTCATTATCATGGTCAGCATGGGCGTCATCAACATCATGATCAGCCTCATCGTCATCATCAGCAGCATTATCATCAACATCTTCAGCATGTCCATCGTCATGATACTCATCGTCATAATCATCATCACCGTCATCAACAACGTCATCGGCATCACCATCAGAATCACCACCACCATCATCATCAGCAGCATCATCATGTTCATCATCATAATTGTCATCACCAGCAGCATCGTCATTGTCATCGTGATCGTCACCGCCATCGTAATAAACATCACCAGTATCATCATCAGCAGCATCATCAGCGGCATCAGCATCAGCGTCATACTCATTATCAGCATAATCATAATCAGCATCATGATCATCATAATCAGAATCAGAATCAGCAGCATCATCCTCAGAAGCAGCAGCATAATCAGCAGCAGCATCACCATGATCAGCATCATCAGCAGCAGCATCATCAGCAGCATTATCATCAGCGTTAGCAGCGTATCATCGCTATCAGCATCAGCATCAGCATCAGCATCATCAGCAGCAGCATCATTTGCATCAGCATCATCATAACCACCATCACCATCACCATCACCATCACACCATCACCATCATCACCATCCTCATCATCATGCTCCTCCGCCCCCCAACGCTTTCTCCTCCTCCTCCTCCGAATCCTCCTCCTCCTCCTCCTCCCATCCCTGCGCCTCCCCCTCCCTCTCTTCCTTCTCCTCGCTCGCTCGGTCGCTCGATGGCTCGTCTTCTCGCCCCTATCGCGTTTGAAACACCGAGCCCGTGCCAGAAGAACACAAAAAACAAAAACAGCGACGCGCATCGAGGTCTGGCCCGGGGGGCGAGCAGGCAGCGGACCGTCAGGAAGACCAGGACGCAACGGTCCCTCTACCCCCCCGAGGCAGCCCCGAACCCCCCCCCCCCGAGGGAAACCGCGGCAAGAGCAGGCCTGCGCTGTGGACACGCAAGCCGCGCGCACGGAGGATGGCTCCCGGAGGGCGCCGCGACAGCGACGGCGGCGAGGACGCCGACGACGAAGGCGGCAACCGACCGAGCGAGAACAGCGACGACGACGCACCCACGATCCGTCATCCCACGGGCGTCTCAGAGAGAGGAACAAAGCATGGCACAAACTGACGGAAGTCCGCGCGGAATCCTTGGATCGGCGCGGGACCCCCTCCTGTCCCCGGCACGCGCGGCGCCGCCAGGGAGCTCCATCGCCGATCCGAGAAATCCGCGCGGACCTCCGAAAGCGTATGCTTGTGCCTTCTGTGTTCCCCGAGAGCAGCGCCACCCCCCCCCCCGGCAGGCACGGGGAGGGCGAAGGAAGAGAGAGGCGGGAACGGGCAGCCCATGGGTGACAATGCAGTGGCAGGCAGAAGAGGGCACCCGCCTCCCCGTCAGTCCTGTAGACGCTCTCGCGTGCAAAGCCCGCAACCCCGCGGTCACGGAAGCAGGACACTGGGGAGGAGCACGAGCACGCCTGGAGGCCTGCACATGGGCACCGACACAAGCGACAGGGAGGTGTCTCCACCGTGGTGGGATGATCCCAGATCTTGGTGTTGGTGGTACTCTGGTTCGGCCTCCTGAGAAGCCCGAGAATTGACCCGAGAATACTGGCATTAGGTCGGGCATGTCCTCCTACAGGCAGATTTTGGAAGGAGAGCCAAACATAGTCTAAAAATATTCAAATATATCTATATATATACACACATACATACATATATTCACCATAAAAAAATCATTGGAAAATGGTCCCCAGACTATTTTTGTTATTTCTGGATATTCCTCCTGTAGGGGGACGTACCCGACTTAATACTAGCACCCTCGCCGAGATCAGAATCGTAGACCCTCGGCGGAGGCAACCGCCGATGGTGGAGCTGGGGCCTGCCTCCGGGCCCCCCGGTCCTCGGAGTGGACCCCCCGAGGCCAGGCCGCCCTCCGCCCACGCAGGGCGAGAGCTATGGCCAGGCATCGGGTGTTGCCAGAAGTGCCCCTGGCCCAAGGTGCCCCCCGGGACTTCCCAGGCGGCCCCCAGGGTCTCCAAGGCACCCCCCACGGGGCTCGAAGGGGCCCCAGGGGCTCGAAGCTGGAGGGAGAAGCTGGGGGCACCTCTTTGGCCAGGGGCACCTGGAGCAGCCCCCGAAAGCAGGGCAGCAGCCGGAGGGGCAGGCGCCGGGGGGGCGGGCGAGCGGGGCAGGCGGCAGGCATGACGGCCTCGTGGGCGGCAGAGCTCGATCGGCGGCTCAAAAGTGGGGCCCTCGGAGATGAGGCTAGAGGAGCGAGTGGCCTGAAGCAGTGCAGCTTCAGCTCGGGATCCCCTTCCGCTCCCTCAGGACCCCATTCTTGAACCGCTGGCTCGAGGCGAGGGCGTACGCCAGATTGGTAGATGGCCCTCTCTGCAGCACAAGAGCAGAGAGGCCTCCCCCATCATGAGGCAGGGCAGGGAGACGTCGTAGGAAAGACAACGTAACGCGTCGAGATGCGTTGAAAAACTGCGGCAACACACGCGACACAAGACACGCATGATCCAGTCGGGGATGGACAGACCTCCCTCTAGCAAAACGTGGTTTAGTGAAAACGACCTGAGGCCCAAATCTGGCGGGCGCAGGCCTGGAAAATAACGGCCACGGCGCCCTCTCGAAGACCGAAAACGGACAATTCACGAATCGACGCGTCACTGTTGGGGGTTCTGTCCACCCCCGATCCAGGCATGCTTGACGCCGAGTCCTTCAAACATCGAACCGAACCTCCCAACAACTCACGCGCGGACTCCTCGGGTCGGCGCTGGGCCGCCCTCACTCTCGCGCGCCGCGGCCGCGCCACGGGGCAGCCGGCAGCGCCGCCGGAGCAGCCGGGCCCAGCGCCGACCCAAGAGATCTGCCGCGACATCCGAAGGTTTCATGGTTACGTCGCTACTCTCGGATTCAATCCTCCGCCCCCCCCCCCTCTGCATCTGACCCTCCTCCTCCTCCTC